GATCGTCTAGGCCAGTGGTTCTCAAACCGGGGGGGCGCCGACTCCCTGTAGCGAGTAGGCTACAGGGTGGGGGGTGGGGAAATGTTTTTTTTTTTTTTTTATCACTAAACTACTGTCATAAAAAGTTAAAGTTTTATATATACATAACTCCAGAATAAAAATTTAAATGTGTTTGGACTGATTTAAAAAGTTTTGATCAAATTTGATTGGTTTGTTGATAGTGAGCGCAAATGCAGTTGATAAGCGGTTTTATTAAGCGAGTCATTGAGTCGTTCATTCTAACGATTCGTTCAAACTATTGGTTCAAACTGCCGATTCATCAAGAATGAGACAGATGTTTGTGAATGGGTCATTGATTCTTTGACTCATCCGATTCGTTCAAAACACTAAATCATTCAAAACACGATTGAGTGCGGTATGCTGTGATCGTTGTTTGGATTAATCAGATTCAGATCTATTTTCGCTGCTAAAATATACCAAAACAGTCATTATTTAGTCTAAAATGTAAGTGACTTAATATTATTTTTATTAACTTGTTTGTTGAACTGTCATATGAAATCAGTGTCACATTTTTAATCGTGAGGTGATGGTAAATTAAATGATGGTCGTTAGGTGGTCGTGTGATATTATAATATGTTGCTCAAGTGTATTCATTTAACTGCAATGTCGTTTTAGTGTCATTATCGGATCTCTGTATTTCTTCACGTGATATCTTGCCACAAACACATATTTCATCTCATTAAACGATAAATTAAACACTATGTATTATTTTAATCGATTGCTGGACATCGATATGTTATTGTGGTGTACATCTGATTTATGATTTAGCATTGTATTAGCGATTTGAAACGAACACATTTTTCGCGCTGCCTGTGAATGTCCTGAATGTGACTTGCAGAAAGACGCGCGCCACCATAAATGTGCATGCACAAACCGCGCGCCAGAATACAGTTCTCTTTCGCGCTGGATTATGCCAATATGTCGTTTGTTCAGTATCTTCATAACATAAGAGCAGTCTTTTTGAGGGACAAAGAGTTGTGACTCGTGTGAGATCTGCGTCTCAGCTAGCAGCTGATCTTAAAGGGCCAGCTGCCAATAAAGCATTCTGTCAGTAAAGTTAATTAATAAACAGAGAAAATTACTAACTGGTCTTGAACTTGTGTAGCTTTAATAAGGATTAGTCTATTTATAATTTATGCAGTGCAGACTGTTTGATAACTTTATTCAATTTCTGTATGTGTACTACCTTAGGCCCAGGGATGTTGCTACCCCTTTTACTGGGGCACATGCCCAACTAATCTGCTGTGCCCCAGTAAATCTGTGTAAAAGTTTGAGTTTAACAATTTATTTTATATTTCAGTCTATTTAAAATAAATTATATTATAGGGTAATTATATTAACGATCTATTTGCAATGCATTAATAAAACAATTGAAGCTTGCAAAAGGTTGAGAACCCCTGGTCTAGGCCAAGCTAAATGGATAACCACTATTGACCTATGGAAAGGTTATTGGCAAGTCCCCTTGACTGCCCAGTCAAAAGAACTGACTGCATTTCGCACTCCCTGGGGGCTCTACCATTTTTCTGTTTTGCCTTTTGGGCTACATGGGGCTCCCGCTACATTTTAGAGGCTAATGGATCTTGTGTTGTCTGGCCTTTACGCAGCTGCATACTTGGATGACATTATTGTGTATAGTTCATCCTGGGAGCAGCATCTCCAACATCTGAAGCAGGTGTTCCATCGCATTTAGGAGGCGGGTCTCACCATTAACTCTTCCAAGTGTGCTTTAGCTAAAAAGGAAACGGAGTACCTGGGGTATGTAGTCGGTAATGGGGTCATTAAGCCCCTGCTTCAAAAGATTGAGGCTATCCAAAACTGCTCTCTGCCAGAGACAAAAACTCAGATCAGATAATTCTTAGGGATGGCGGGTTAGTACAGAAGATTTGTACCGAACTTCTCTGCTCGTGTGGCGCCCCTGACTGATTTGACTTGAAAGAATTGCCCTAATCAGATTTGCTGGACAGAGGAAGCAATGGAAGCGTTCCAGGACATAAAGGCTGCTGTATGTGAAGAGCCAGTGCTTTATTGCCCTAATTTTGGAGAGCCATTTGTGTTGCAGACTGATGCCTCGGATATTGGTATAGGTGTAGTACTCCTTCAGGGTGGGTCAGACAATACATACGTCAGTAGGAAGCTGTATCCAAGGGAGGTACGGTATTCGACCGTTGAAAAGGAGTGCCTGGCGGTAAAGTGGGCTTTAGATACCTTCGGGTACTACCTTCTTGGTAGAGAGTTTACCATTGAAACTGATCATCGACCATTGCAGTGGATAGACAGAATGCAGGATACCAATGCTAGAATTACCCGCTGGTACCTTTCAGCCTTATAAGTTTAACATCCAGCATGTGCCCGGGAAAATTAACACAACTGCTGACTTCCTCTCCCGCTTACCAGCGTGAGATCTTAGGTGGGGGGATATGTTATGGCCAGTATTTAATCCACACAAGGTTTATGTGGTGCATTTGCATTTTGCATTTGGTGATAAATAAAAGGACATTACTATGGTTTGGTTTAAGATCTTTATTTGTCATTGTACTGAGTCAGTGCACGGGCTTAGTTATTTGACTTAAGATTAAAACAATAAAACCAGCTAAAATTCATCTTTGGCTAAAATGTGATCTATAAAAACATAGCTTAAACGGTTCATTTTGTAATGAAGATGATTTCAAATGTTTAGTACCTGTTGTGTTGTGGTATGGACCAGCCTGGTGACAAAGAGATTCAAACAGGAAGTTGATCTGTTTTATGGGAATTCTAAAGGAAATTAAACCGTACCAACTCTGATGTATTAGAGGGGACATAGGAAAATGTGATGTCTTGATCAATGTGATGTTTGTTTAACCCTCAGGTGCTCTTCGGTCATTTCTGACCGAAAAATTTTCTGTTTTGAAATTTTAAAAATCACAGCTTCATCGGAATGTTATGAAACTTGGTGACTTTTATGGCATTGGGTATGTGAACACACAAAAAAAAATTGAGGTCATGATCCGAGCAGGCTAAGTGGTAAAAAAAATAGTCACACTTGTGCTCTTCGGTCAAAAATGACCGACCATAAGGAATGAATGGGAAATTGACAAAAAACACAAAAACTTTGAGAATTTTTATGTGTACAATCTACAAATCGACCACGATGCAGAAAAAAAAGTGCTCAGCATTGAAGGGGTGACACTCTAAAACATCAAGAGTGCAAAACAGACATACCCACCCCTACACACACACACACACACACACACACACACACACTTTTATACACAAAAACACCAATAAATTGTGATTAAAGAAATCTGTTTTCAATATTTAAAAATCACAGCTTCTTCAGAAAATTACGAAACTTGGTGACTTTTATGGCATTGGGTGTGTGAACACACAAAAAAATTGAGGTCATGATTCAAGCAATTTAAGTGGTCTTAAAAAAATGAGTCACACTTTTGCTCTTCTGTCAAAAATCACCGACCCATAGGAAATTAATGGGAAATTGACAAAAAAATAAAAAATTCTCGGAATTTTTGTATGAACAATCTACAAATCGGCGACAATTCTAAAAAAAAGTACACCGCAGGAAAGGGGTGACACTCTACAACATCTAGAGTGCAAAACAGACACACCCACCAACACACACACACACACACATACAAACACACATACAAACACACTTTTATACACATACACACCAATAAATTTTGATTACAAAAAGTATGTTTTGAATTTTTAAAAATCACAGCTTCATCGCAATGTTATGAAACTTGGTGACTTTTATGGCATCATGTATGTGAACACACAAAAAAATTGAGGTCATGATCTGAGCATGCTAAGTGGTCTTTAAAAAATAGCCACACTTGTGGTCTTTGGTCAAAAATGACCCCCATAGGAAATGAATGGGAAATTGTAAAAAAAAAAAAAAAAAAAAAAAAAATTGTGAATTTTTGTTTTGTCAATTTTTTTTATAGGAAATAGTTTTTGAGATTGTTTCAACTATATATTCAAATCCACCACCAACAACAACAAAAAATGTGTTCATAAACAGCTGGGGAATTCACATACCTCTCCATAGAGAGCTGTACATGCCATCTAGTGGTTACACCATGATTCTACGCTTTTTCTCTATACTGTAACCAGATGGTGCTAATGTTCTTCAAAAAATATTTTTTTTTCTGAAGGCCTAGACTCTATATTAAACTAAAATACTGCATTAATATTAAAAAAAAAAGAAATATATATATATATATATATATATATATATATATATATATATAGAAATATATATATATTTTTCCATGGCAAAAATAAACCATAAATATTGCATACATATTAATAAATTCAATTAAATTGTCTCAAAATACTACATTAAAAAGAATAAATATTATAGAACAAAAATAAATTGCATTGGTTTTACTGGGATGGAGAAAGTTTCATTTTTAGGTGTCCAGTCACTTTTGACCGGGAAGATAACAAGTGTGACTCCGAAACGAAGAGCACCTGAGGGTTAATATGATTATTTTCCATTAACTATAATTTTTCCATGGCTCTAAATTTAGTTAAATGTATTGTTTTGATTCCAGGGTTTGTGTTGTTATTGTTGTGAAATTTTGTATGGTAATGTTTCCCCCTTCTTTGTTTTCATGGTGATAACCACCTCTTAGAAATTCAGTGTATGTTTTGTCTAGAGAGAGTTGTTACTTAATGTACCCTGGGAAAGGTTGTGTTGAATTTTGTCCTCTGTCAGTTTGAGAGACGCAAGCCCAACTATGTCCAATTTTTTTTCTTCTGTGATGTAACCTGAATGGAACATAATTTTTGGACTTTCTTGTTTTTAACTGTTTAAAATTTTTTTCACCTTTTTCCTCTCAAATGAGGCTTGATCACTTTTTATCTTGTGTAAGCAAGATTTAATAAAACATCACAAGTGAAGACTACTTTGCTCCCTGTTTTGTGGCAATGGACTAATTTTTTTGATATGTGATTTGCCAAGGCACATGGCAGATCCATCACAGTGTTAAAATATCAACTTTACTACATTTATCTGATTTACCAATGAACATTGGTAATATGTTTAAAATTAAAACGGAATGTAGACATTAAGGTATTTAGGAACTGGAATGTTCATTGAATGAATTAAACCTTTATTGACCAGAGGAGAATTTGTTTTGCACTCAAGAGAGCCACATTGAACATCAGCACAAATAACAGTAAACCACCCCAAATATCCAGCAACATTGTGGACAGAGGATACAAAAAACAAAAACAAACACAGCAATGGTATTGCATTATACAGCATTATAACCCTAACCCAGGATAAAAATATAGAGAATGTATTTTTCGCTTAGCCCCATCATGGAACACCACTATTACATAACTGAAGACTTTATACTTTTGTTGGATGAAACAAATTAAAATAGCATGCGTTATAGAAAATACAGACCAGCTGAAATTATAAACAGAGAGACAGTGGACATTTCTGTAAAACCACTACATCAAATTAAGTGGTTAAATCATTAAAACAATAAAGGGATAGACCATTTTATTTTTATTTTTCATGAATCACACAGAATTTAGCCAAGAACAGTAATGGGACCAAGCAACACAGTGTTGGACTCTGTTGTCTCTGAAAGGAGAAAAATCAGTTTGTCAGAGCCAACATTCATAGTATTCAATGAAAGGAGCAAAGACGTGAAATGTAGAAAATATGAGTTTTTCATGGTTTTTATGGTTGTGCAAAGTGTATGCGGAAAGAGGCGCATATTCCACTGCTTCTTGAAAGTTATGATGGTCTCAAAAGAAAACTGAAGTAACATGGTACTGCCTTTTGTTGGCATGATGTGGCCTAGGTTAAAGCTTACCTCTACTGACTGACCTTTTTGGTAGTCTACTCCCTTTGCCAATATGTTTCTGGTTGATTACATCACAAGTATTCTCACAGCATTCACAAACCTCATCCTTACCTACTGGGGTTCCCTTGTAACAAACGTAAATTGGAAGAAGGCCTGGCTTTTGCCTAGTAAATTTTGTGTGTCCAACAAAGTTAAAGAAATTCATTATAAGATCCTTCATAAGATCTACCCTGTTAACTCTTCTATTGCTAAATATTCTGATATTGATGATACTTGCTCCTTCTGTGGTTTTGTTGAGGAAACAACTGCCCATTTATTTTGTGAATGTAATGTAACCAATAGATTTTGGACTAAATTAAGTTCTTTTGTTTTTAGCCCTACAAATACGACCCACACTTTCACTCTCAAAGAGGTTATTTTTTATTATGAAAATCCAAAGTTGCTTTCCCTTGAGTATGTTGTTAACTTCTTTATCTTGTATGCAAAATTCTTCATCCATATAGCAAAAATGGCTTAAATCTCCTTTGAGCTTTCCTCTTTTTCTTGCTGATTTTGACTCTTTTATTTCGTCCCTTAGACTTATAAATAACAAGAAAAGTGAACAATTTTTGATGTATTTTGATGATTTATTCAAAGACATGACTTGGCATTAAATTATGCTTTTCTTGTTTTATGTTTTACATAATTTGATGTATGCATACCCAGGATGCTTATTTTCTGTTAGGTACTATTGTCTGTTTGTTTGTACACCTTGCCTTACTTCCCTGTGTTTTTTTTTTTTGTATAAGTTCTGCAATAAAAAAAAAAAAAAAAAAAAAAAAAAACCTCATCCTTACCATCCACACTGAGCCACCTTCAGAAAGCAACATGTTAACTTGACATCAAATGTTGTCTTATGCAAATACTTTGTTTCAAACAATTATATTTGGAATTTTAGTTTTCTTATACCCTTAGGGTAACATAAAAAAAAAAAACACTCATACCCATTTCCAGAATAGGTACAGGCCTTGTTCATGATATTCAACTCCATTTCAACAATCTTCAGATGGCATGTAATATAGACCTATAGAGTAAAGATGTATTTGTGTTCATTTAGAATACTTTTTTTTTAATCCAAAGCAACATACAAATGAGAAGGTCATACTTCTCTCAAAATACTGTTCTAGATAACACAGTCTCATCCCAAAAAGTCATATAACTGACGTTTTGGGACGTATTTTGACCATACGTCAATATCCGCCTTTTTAGGGCCCCCTTAAACGTCGGTAGATGGCGATCCCGGGCCGTCATACAACTGACGCTTTACCTTTAACGTCAGTTAGGTGACGGGTTAGGTTTAGGGTTAAGTTTAGGTATGGGGTAGAGTTAGGATCCCATAACCTCATCTACCGACGTTTAAGGGGGCCCTAAAAAGGCGAATATTGACGTATGGTCAAAAGACGTCCCAAAACGTCAGTTATATGACGATTTGGGATGAGACCGGGTTGTTCTAGAACACTGAAGAGTGAAATGTTTCAGTTTATATGGGACTCACAGCATTACGGTGGTTTTCGTGGAAACGGAAAGCATCCATCTGCATCTGAAGAACATGATTTAGTTTTCTGGGCATGAAACGGGCACTAGAGTCTGGCACTATAGAGTCGACAAGACATCTACCACATAAGGGAAAGAAATTCCATTTGTTAACATTTAAATACCAATACTAGTTAATCATGTCATAAGAAAAATTATCAGGGTGGCATTTAGTTTTAAAATTTTACAGCACCCCATGAGTGGTAATATTTCAAAGCACATGTACAATGCAGTTAAATTCAAACAGATACAACCATTCCAAACATAAAATGTTGAATGATTAGTTCATTAATTATTATAATGTTAGACTTAGAATGTTTTTATTTGCCAAAGATATGTGTAAATTTGTTTTATTTGCCAAAGATATGTGTCAATTTGCTTATGATTTCATTATCTTGTTTTCATTGCACTGGAATCCCAAATCACAACTGACCCATGGTTCTGAACGAACACGTAGCGTGGCACTGATGCGGCATTAGGCTCCAGAGTGACCACACAACTGTCCATTACTAATCTGATGGCAGCATGCTCAGCCTTCAAGAAAGAAGCCTGGATATTCATCACTTCCCCAAGGTGGTACACATAGGATGACCTTTTAGTCCTCCAATCATCTAAGAAGAAAGGGGGGAATAAATAAACAGGGTAAACCCACGTTTTAAATGTCATTTAATCCTAAACATACCATTCATAAGATGGAAGGAAAAACCAATCAATTCCAGAGCTGAGGTGGTAGGCCAGGAAGACTTCATATCAATACTGCTTACAAAGTGGGTCCTGAGATATACACGGTGGCAAATATACAGTAGGAAGGCAGCAAGCCAGCAGAAATGAAAAGGTATAAATGATTATAACCATACAGATAAAGTCCATACCTTTTGTAGCGACATTCAATAGGAATAGAAGCGGTGCTTGTCCTTACAATACCAAAGCTGTTCTGCATAGCGGTGTAGATCAATTGGTTTGAATAAACCAAATGATCTCCATCAATCTATAAATTAAATTATATTAAATAATGAATAAACAGTCTTTTTCTTGACATACACTGACAATCTGACTTAAAATTCAACAATATTATTGATCTGCTTCCATTAACACCATTATATGAGAACTGAATAGAATAACTCATTATATGAGATGGCATTACCCAGGCCAGAGTAGCAGTGTAGAGTAATTAAATTAATTATCTTTTTTGCAACAGAAAAGAACTTTCACTAAACTTAAGCAGGACTATGACACTATTTTCTTCTAGCTCTGCAGTACAGCCAAAACTAACTTGGTTGTGTTATTTTCCTATTATCATTGTAAAGTTGCTTTGAAACAATCTGTATTGTAAAAAGTGCTACATAAATAAAGGTGACGACTTGATATAAAAGCACATTATAAATAAAATGTATTATTTACTTAATCCCCCTCAAAAAAGAACATTTGGATCAGAACAAAACAAAAGAACTCTTACATATCGATAATTCAGAGCCACACTGGTGCACATCTACTTTAATCACATATTCAGTATCACTGTACTGAGAGGCTTTGCAGCTCTCGGTTGAGCACGGTTGACCGAGGCTAAACTCTTCAGCAGTGACATGACGGCCGTTGGAGTGAAGGTCGGCTCTGATGAGCACAATCATGCTTTGCTCAGTGCAAAGCACCTGCACAGGTGCAACTCTGCTCAAAGGCATGTCATTACTATTATCTGTAGGATCCTCATTCGGTAAAGATAAGACTTTGTACTGTCTAGAATCTGGCCCTATCATCGGACCTTCCTTTAAATTACGAATGGCGCCTGCAACACATATACTTAATATAACTATATTGTCCCTACAAGTTTACCATATGGCATTGTTGTGGCTGGAAAAACCTGCATACAAGCAAAGCAGGAATTCTCATTTAGGTGTAGTTTAAGGGAGCCTATTTATTCAATTATGCAGTTGTTCTTAATTGATAATTAATTTTGATTCAACACAGTAATCTTTTGAATTCATTCACTAAAAAAACAATTTAGTGACTCTTTCTGCAGGTTTAGGACCAGCGTAGGCAACATGTTAGGCTACTGTTTTTATATGGCAGAAACAAGTGCACTGAAAAAAGAGATTTTTTTTTTTTTTGCTGCCTGTTCAAATTAAAAAGAACTAAAGCAACACAATTGCTATACACTTTGTTCTACGTTAAATCCATTGTTATTATGGTGATCCACTTAAATGTTAAAAAGCACCTCACTGCCAATGACTTATGTTGCCAAACTCAGCCAATAAAACATATATGCATTGCTCAATCATTCTTTTTATTGATAATTGCTATTTTAATCATTTTTGAATAATGACTAGGACAGTCTTTACTATAACCCATGGAATAATATCTACCACATGCATTATTCCCCAAAACAATTCCCTTTTAGTGGTAGCCTGAACAATATTTGCAATTAACAGGCATTTTCAGAACTAATTTAAACACACCAACTTTATCTAGTATGCAGCAAAAACCTTAGTTGGTGTATCAGGATTTAAAACAAGGTCTTTGTAGCTTTAATTTTAATAAAAAGCATTTAAAACACCAACACAAATCAAATGAAATCATGAGTGTTTCCATTTCTTTTATTCCATAAAAAAGAAGCAGACAATGAATGAAAACAAGTGGTGAAATAAAGGGTGAAACCGCTCATGTCTTGTTTCCTGCTTGTGTGCTTTGTGAACTAGATTTTCCTCCACCTCCGTTCATTTAATCTTTGTCAGCATTCATGTCCTTCAGTTTAGAAGTTCAGAATCCTTAGGAGGGTGATATGTCAGCTGGCTCCTCTTCTGGTAGGGAAGGGCTTATACCCAATGTATGCAGTCCAGAGTCTTCCTCATTCGAGGATCGAGTTTTGAAGAGTTCCTTAAAACCTACAAGATAGAATCAACTATTCCATGAGCAAACATAAGTACCCCATCAAACAATGTTTCAATAAACAGAAATACTATGCCATTTTTATACCTTCTTTTGGCAAAATTCTAGTCTTCCACATGCCTTGATCAGACTCTTTTGTCTCTCCTCTGCTCTCTTCATAGTCATGGTCTTCATCTTCACCGTCATAATCTTCATCTTCACTGTCATATTCACCATCCTCTTCCAGCTTTTCGGATTCTGGTTCACTTTCTGTAATACTGGGTTGTTCAGTGGGTTCCCATGAAGGTGAAGGAGTTACACCACCCACTTGGTCTGTTGGAGACTTTATTTTAGTCAAGTCATCTTCATTTATATAGCACTTTTAACTTTGTAGATTGTTCCAAAGTGGTTTTAAAATTCCTATTATCACTGTAAAGTAACAGAGATTGTTTTGGTTTTATGGCAGCTCTAGAATAAAATTGTCCAGCTAAAGTTAGTTTTGATTGATTCACTTCTGTCGCAACGATCATTAGTTATTAAAGGGGTGGTTTACTGCTTTTTTTCTTTGCATGATTGTGTTTATGGGGTGCAATATAACATGTATTTGTGGTTTTTCTTTAAAAAAAAAAAAAAAAGGTTGTTGCCCAACAACTGCTGTCTCTGGTTTTAAAGTTGGAACTGCTTCATGTTTTAATAACAGTTTCTTGTTGAATCAGGCATTGAATTCGTGGAGATTCTGGAAGCTGTTTTTCGTAAATGCGCAGCACAGAGAGCTAAATTAAGATTGTAATTTCCAGGAATATAATCAAACATAAATTGTATCCATTGATGACGAGCTACAGCATCCGTGGGAAACCCAAACACAGAAAACCTGACAGCTGGGTGAACATAACACACTTTTTTGCATATTACGGAGGGAGGGTTGATGCGAATGTATGTCAACCACCACAATCAACCACCCCTTTAACTTAAGGGCCGCTAACACGACACCGCTTTAACAGAAAAGTTCTCTATGCAAACTTTAAAAAAAACGCGAACCTGAGAGAATGCTGATGGCGTGCACATGCGCATTAAGAGTTCCTTCTATAGATATGCGTGTTTTTAGGCTGCAGATTTCAGCAGTTATAAGCATTTTAACTGCAATAACCTTTAACTAAATTACCATGTTAATACTGATGAGGTTACAAAAAATTTAAAATAAAAAAGGCCTCATTTATGAAACTTTGTGCATAAAATGGACCAAAAACTGTCATCTGGACTTACAAATTACTACAAAGGTTTCGTAAACTTTAGATTACGGTGTTTAATGAATTCGAATCATTTTTAAAAATGCATGCACACTTCCAAAGACTATCCCAGCCCATGAAACTATGCGAATCATGTGCACATTTAACTATTTGGTTAAGTAATTTTGTTATATTTTATGGTAATGTTATGTCACCAGTTTGCCAAAATAACAAAACATAGATATTTTATGTACCATTTACATGTAAATGGGAGCAGGTGTAAATATTGTGGTACCAACTAAAGCTTTTAAAATAAAGATTAATGAACCCAAAAATTTACACTAGAATGGCCTTGCGAACAATTTATACAAATTTATTCTGCTCATGTTTAATGAATAAGGCCCAATGCCTAAATAGCAGTTTGCAATCAGTTCACATTTTCCAATTGTAGGCATAGGTCATTTCAAAGGCAGTGACAAAAAAAAAAGGAAACCCATCTTCAAATATACTAGTTTAAGTTTTGACTTCTGTTTAAGAAAAAAAGAGAAAAAAAGAAAAAGAAAAAAGACCTACTGTGTGTCCTAGTTATTCCTAGTTTTTGACCCAATTAAAGAGATTGTAACGTATTGAATACAAACCCATCTCAGCAGTGACACCATTCTTCCATAGGCTACTATGAGGCATCGGTTTCTTATCTTTACTGAGAGAAGGGAGAGGAGGAACACCCTCCTTCACTCTAGGAGGAGCCAGAAATCCCATTTTGCTTTTCTTTGGAAAGATGGCCAATGGACCCACTGTTTTCTCTAGTTCCCACCCTATTGACACAGAGCCACATTTTTCAAAATGGTTAGTACAAATATGCTTGTCTGCAGTTTTAATGTCAAAATATCAATCAATATCTTTAAAACACACAGTTTAAATGACTTGCTTTTTAGGATAAATTACACAAAGACAATCACCAGACCCACTTACCCACTGAACCAATTCCCTCATCCTCCTCCTGTGGAATAATTAATTTCCTCCAAGAGGGAATATGCTCACTATCTGTTAGCAAGGAATTTAAATAACTTCCAGAACCCTCTTGAATTCTGGGCTGGAATTTGTTGGGCTTTGGGGAAGATGAGTTCTGGTCTGATCTGGGAGCAGGAGGTGGCCCAGATTGTTGCAGTGTGGATTGGAAGGATGGAGCATACTCTTTTGTTCCTTGGCAGCTATAACAAGCCCAGTCATCTCCATCTGCAGCCTTCCAGCTTGTAGATTAAAGAGGGGAGTGAGAGAAACTTAAGGTTGGTTGCCCAAAGAAACAATATTGAAGAAAATACAGTTTACATGGCAAGATGTAAAACTTTACTAGACAAAAGAAAAAAGGGGAGGGAAAAGAGAAAGCAAAGCTTTACACCTTCCATCGATAAAGGAGCATGCTTTATGAAAGGGGTTAACTGCATCCATTACAGGGTAAGCTTGAAGATTACAGGTGATGTACATCTGCACGACAAAATGAGAAGAATGTTAATTTGAACTCAAATGGAACCACTGACATCAGAATTCAATGTGTACAACAACCCCACTTTTTGTTTTTCCATCCAATATTATTAAACCAAGCAAAAATAACAAACCCTCCATCACCATTTCATAATGTTTTGAGCCTGAGAACATGTTTTCATGGGAATACACTATATGCACCTCTGGCCTCATCTCTTGGTGGAACTTGAAGGCATCCAGCTGGAGTTGAAGTTTGTCATTTTGGATTCTGGGCAGGAAACGTGACTTTGACCCGGTTATCGGTCCATCCATCAGACAACTAATTGGAGAGGGGGAAAATTAAAGTGTACTTATCTGTGATTAGCCAAATATTATTTCCTAAACATTTCCTTTCATTTGCAGTACAAGACATTAGAGATATACTAATAATGACTTTTTATGACCGATACCGATTATTTGCATGTTTATGTGCCTGATAACCAGATATATATTTGTTTTCTACAGTTAAAACAGTTTTGTTTTGTTCAGTGCTGTTCCAACACGTTTCTACCCTGTAAATTCTGTAAATTCTTACATACATAAAACACTTCTACATCAATAAATAAAGGGGTCCAAAAGGGTGTAAAAAAGTGCACCATCACTAAAATGTCAAAAAAACAAAACAACCTTTGGTCATGGTAACAAATGACAGGTGAGTCTAATCAACTAGTTTGAAAAGGTTTGTTTTTAGTAGAATAAAGAGTGAAAAGGAATATTAGTACACATACATTTGTTGATGTATTCACTGTTTTATTTTTCTGACAGTTCATCTCACCTGTCACGCTATCTGAAGTTTTTTCTGCATTTTACGCCAGGTCTTAATTACTGTAGGCTCGAAATGACAAGATGTGAAGTCTCTATGGCACCACTATGGCTGTGTCTGAAATCACCCCATACCCTTAAATAGGGCACTACTTGAAGGGACAGACATTTGTAGTGGCGTCCAAAACCATAGTGGATGATCGAGTGCACTCATTCAATTCCACAATAACGTATAAAACCGATGTACGCTCAAAGGCTAGAGAACAACTTAATTATTATGCACTGCAAGTCGCACACTACGAGTCGCAAACACAATTCCCATTATACAAAATACAAATACAAAATACTGTGTGGAAAAATGTATTTAAATACAAATACAGTATTTTGTATTTTGAAAATACAGAAAATACATGTGAAATTGGCGATTCAGTGCAGTCATCCCTAGGCTGAAATCTATCTGGGCCTATTCTGAACACCAGCAAATATTTAGATGTGTGCAACTACTTAGAAACTTTCGTTTTTATTTTATATACCTCTTCCCTTCCCCAGCCCTGTAGGAAATACAAAACTACAAAAAAACAAAACAAATTTCAAACATCTTTTACTATGTTTGATCACCATCATTACCTCGCACTCAGTAACAAGAACTCAATAAGACAAAGTAAATTATATTTGATGGTGTACTCCTCCAGGTGGTGTACCTATGTGTATCAGACATCCATCTATTCGATACCCTTTAGCAACACCAGCTTTTCAAAAAGTTTGGGTTTAAGGCGTCGTCTGTGTGGCCTATTGCAAGCGCTCTACAGGAGCTGAAGAGGGAATAATTGTGTTGAACCTCACAAACAGTCTAATAACTGGATACTGGTTCAAGATGTCCAAATCCTTCCTCTGATGTTCTAGGATTCTGGCTCAAAGTATTTTGAGTATTTTGAAAATACAAAAATACTTATCTTAAATGTTTTTAAATACAAATTACATTCGATTTTTCCCAAAGGCTTTAAAATACAAAATAGTATTTTGTATTTCAAATACGTATATCTGAAATACTGCCCATCCCTGGGTGTTGATAATAGGTGTGTTCAACTTGAAGGGGTGCTGCACAGACCAATCTGTGTATGACAAAGTACCATATGCTTTTGAATCGCTCACGGTTCTTTGTCATCGCAACTTCAAGTCGAACACACCTGCTATCAACGCCTAAATGAATCTGCAGCGGTCAGGTGGTATAGTAGTCACGTGGTACAAGTAGGTTATCGACCCTGGAAACAAGGTACACAATTTTGGTACAAAATTCTCATCTTACAAGCTGTAATTAGGAGCTCTACAGTGATGACCTCTACAAATTTTATCTCATAATTACAACATGGGGTGAACAATGAAATACCTTCTGACAGAGCGCTGTTTTATGCATTTACAAAGAACTTCTTACAGAGAAAGATTAATACATTGCTAATAAACTTCTACATAATTACAGCTAAGTAAAGGTTATATAGTCAATGTTAATTTAGGGAACCCACGTCTGATAAGGGCATTCGAGCCTAAACGACTTTGAGACTAATCATCGGAAATGTCCTACTTTCCACTTCTGAAGGTGTGATTAAGAGCACGATGCATTCAAGTGCTGTGTTGTTTGAAATAACAGGAACCATGGAGGTTTAATCAAATTTAACCTGGCCAATTAATTGGGAAAATCTCATTTAAGGAATGTAACCTCATTCATTGACAACCAAATCTATATTCAGTTGGCTATTTTGGAATTTCAGACAAATACAAGCTATTTTCGCTGTGTATAACATACCATACACTTCAAATGATTAATACACGAAAATATACACTATTTTAAAGACAAGGTAATGTAACGGTTGAGGAAAAAACTGATTAAGTAAAAAAAAAAAAAAAAAAAAAAAAAAAAAAAAATCCAGCAGCAATCGTTCTCCCCTCCGCTGTGTTTAAAGTTTGTGGCCAGCCCATCTCAGGAACTTATGCTGCCTTCACGTGCAATCAGAAATTTCCTACTTTTCCACTTCTGAAGTCGTGATTACAAGCTCATCACATTCAAGTCCATTGTTGTTGGGAATAAAACAGGAATAAATGGAGAACACAGACTGGCGGCGTGCACTGGTTGTTTTCATGCCGAGCATTCGATTTAGAGTAGTATTCTTGAAGATATATACGTATATTATAACAAGTGTTTTTGCTCTGTTTGATGTTCTTTACTGGAACCTGGTACTGATACCCGTCAATAGTGAGCTAAAGAATTAACACTAGTGGGATATACAGTAGGATTATAGTGGTACCCAGGGTGTTCTTGCTCAGGCTTCATGGAACAACTTTGCCTGACATGCACTGTATGCAGGGCCACTTTACAGCATACGGTCCATGAGTGCTGTCCTATGCAGGGCCACTTTAATTGAAAAAAACAGTAATTGGATTACTGTTACTTCCCCGTAAACAGGCTGCTACTGTGTTAGTTAACCGGGATTTTGTTTAGTGAGACTGTCTCGTGACACGAGTTGTGCGTGAATAATGATGTATGAGTGCCGTGACATCAGTGAGAGACGACTAGAGCGCGGGAGAGACCAGCAGAGCTGCAAAATCACACACTGGCCATGAGATATGGAATGCCAAAACTGACTTAATTAAAAATAAATATATACATAAATATATGAAGAAATGTAAAAGCAAAAATACATAAATATAAAAAAGAAAATGTAAAAAAGTACAAATGAGTATTTTTAATTTTATTCCCATATTTATGTATAATAGTATTTTTTCACACATTTATTTATACATATATTTATTCATTTATTTATTCATTTTCACTTAATTTTTTTCCACATTTATGTATTTATGCTTTTAATGTCTACATTTATTTATTTCCACATTTATTTATTCCGACATTTCTTTCTCCGTATGCTAATGAGGGGGCCGTGTTTTAACAATCGACCTCAGAGTGGCAGTGCTGAAGCTTTGAGGCCACAATGACACCTTGTGATGTGTGACCAAATGAAATTGGGTAGGCTAACACCTATTTTTTTAGTCTATGGTTAACACACATAGTACACATGAACAGAAACTGCACTTCAACGGGTCTGATAGCAGATACTTGGACATGAAAGCGCATTAAAGTATCCACTATTAATAACAATGTAAATGCGGTGGATGGGGCTGATAGCTTGCGTTTGGCTTGCGTTTATTGTCGACGACTCGCACACCAGCGCAGAGAGAAACCATCACATATTTCACTGACTCCCACGCAAGCATATTGATCAATGAGTTTGAAACGCGACTCAATACCACAGGGATTAAAGTGAAAAAAATTCTTCTGACTGAAATTTTTTTCAGGCCAAGTCATATTCCTGTAACTTTATTTAAATAGTCGAGACCAATAGCGTTTTAAGGGGAGATGTTTAAAACCGATCTAATATTGCCAGTTTGCGCAATTTAAAAGCTATTTAAATCTATGAAAAAACAATTACTTATCTTGACAAATAATCAACCATATACATAACTTTTCAGTGCATGTTTTTATTTATCTTATGAGACCAAACAATGCTAAACTATATTAATATATTGTTTGTGCCATGGCAAATTGTTTTGGCTGAGGGCAAAGTGAAGTTTTATAACTTTATTATGTAGGCTATTTAACTTTGACTTTGTAGCCTATAAGAGAGCTGACTTATGTTTAACAGAATTGTTTGCTTTATTTCTCATTGTATAGCTTATTATAGCCTACCTATTAGGCTACTTATACTTTTGAACGGGATATTAGCATTAAAACTGACATTTAACAAAAAAGAGACATGGTTGTGTAATTTTATATATTCTAAAATATATAAAATATTATATTACTATGCATTCTCTTCACTGTATGTGTACACATAATACAATAAAACGATACAACCCTGTCTGTTTGTTAAATGTCAGTTTTAGTGATAAATAATTTTTATATTTTTAAAATGAAAACAAAAAGAAGCAGGTTTGTGTTTTAGCTATATTTCGTGTTGTTATAAATATATGATAATCAATGTGCGTTGCCTGAACCACATTTGTGTGGCCATTTATATGTTTATGATAATAATTATGTTCATTTATAAATGAAAAAAGGCACAGTGGTGTTGATGAAAAAAGGCAGAGTTGATAACCGGAGTAGCCGCGTGCTGAGTGAAGGGCCTTTCACACAGGACGCGGAATGCGCTGCCCTTGACGTGATCAAGAACGCGCTCTTAGCAGTGTCCTCTCGTCCTCAGGAGTTTGTTCTCCCGAGTCGAACTTGGCAAGTCCGAACTACCAAGGACGCGAGTCCGAAGTTTGCGTACTTGGTATTGAGAAACGACCAATATTGACCAGCGTTCTGTTTTCTATCATGGGACCGCAGCAAACGAGCTGTAGCCTCGCCTGACAAGATTGAGTGAACAGGGTCCAGGTAGCACTTTTTCCGTGAGCGGGAATTGAAAAACCGGAGTGGACCATGAGCAAAGTGATTACAGAATGCTTAGAGTGGAGAGAGGAACG